TCTCTCTCTCTCTCTCTCTCTCTCTCTCTCTCTCTCTCTCTCCCCCCCTCGTCTTCTTTACCCACGTCTCCCTTCAACAAGAAGGCCACCACCAGCTCCGCTGGCCTTCCAAACCGAGCCCGGCTATGGATGAGCTGGCTATGGCGCTGCCCTCAGCAGCGCCCTGCTACCTCTCGCGTCCGAGCGCGAATGAGCACCACCGCCAGCGCCAGCTAGCAGCCCGCGAGCACTAGCTCCAGCAGCGCTGCCGCTTGCACAGCAAGTGCCCGAATGCCGAATGCCTGGTGAGCTCTTTTCTATATGGAAAGTGCTCGCCCAGTTCGCTCCCGGGCTAGACCGCGTGTGTGCCCTCTAGCTTCGTGTTGGGCCAAAGTGTCTGCACCCAGGCCCGTTCAGACAGTGACCTGGGACCGAATTGGTTAGGCATGCCTAACCACCCAGGCACAAATGTGCGGTGCTCCCTGCGTTCACCACGTTGCTGGAAGAGCCCAGAAGGCAAACAAATATTTCACATTCTCACGAGCAAGGCGGATGTAACCAACTGGCGTGTGGCAACTGTCTGGCACCCAACAAGATTTGCAAACAATGACGAACTCAGGGCTCATTGAGATTCAGGGGCCCGCCTTCACTTAGGGCGGGCAAGCACTTGCTGCAGGGCTCTTATGCAGGTATGCCGAGGGGTAAAATCCTCGCATACCCTCCTCCTTTACTGCGATAGTCCTCTGAGAAGTCTTCATTCAGCAGGCTGCTTCCCTTTTAACCTTCTCTTATAACCTGAGATAACCTGTGGAGCAGTCTTCATTAGTTCTTCTCTCGTGAACCATTGGTCTTCTTTAGGATCTAGATGGTGTCTGAACCGCACTCTGTACTGCATCTGTGGCTTTGGAGGACGACCCCTGCCTGGAGGCTTCGGCACAGGCATCAGCCTGTGTTCAACGATGTCGTTGATGTCCACGTGTCCATCCAGCATAGATCTTCTTGAAGGAACCTTCAGTCTCAGAAAAGGGAGCCAGTTTGGAGGCATGAAAAACAGTGTGTGTGTGTAGGTGTCCAGAGATTCGGATGACATAAGTTGGCCAACGTCTAGAACTTCCCATGGGCCGAAGTACTGTGCCATCAGTTTTCAAGAGATTCCCAATTCCTGTCCCAACTCAGATGACTTAACCCAGACACGTTCACCTACCTGAAATGCGGATGGCCGTTTGTGCCTATTCTCAGATGCAATCATGGCGTCCTGAGTTTTCTTTATGTGCTCGGCAGCCTGCTGCAGAAGCTGTTCATACTTGACAGCAAACTCTATGCTGCGTGGTGCTGCAGTGGGCTGGTTCTCAGGCAATAGGAAATCAAGAGCAGACCTGGGCTTCCATCCAAGATGCAGCTGGTTGGGAGTCATGCCGGTAGTGCTGTGCACAGCATCGTTGTACAGACTGGCGATCCTGACTTGGCTTGATGTAATGCCGAAGCAGGTGCTGCACTACCTGGTTAATATGCTCTGCTTGGCCATTTGACTCAGGGTGATTTCCTGATGTCATTTGCCACTGGGTGCCCATCTGCTGGGCTGTGGTTTGCCACAGTTCGCTAGTAAATCTGACATCCCGGTCACTAACAATGGACTTTGGCAGACCAAAACCATGAACCCAGTTATCCATAAACAGTTTGATTACGTGTTCAGTTTTCGCTGTCTCAGGCACAGCGGTCAGTCTGGCATACTTACTAAATCTATCCACAATGACAAAGATGTGACGTTTACCGCTCTTGCTGGTCACAAGAGCATCCATGAAGTCCATGGACACACTTTGACCACGGCCTGCAGGAATAGGCAAGGGCTTAAGTAGCCCAAGCGGTGCCTGTGCCTGGGGTTTGTCACGCTGACAAATCTGGCATGTCCTTTGCATCTTCCATCATCATGGGCCACCAGAATATTTCCGTTAAATTTGCTGCTGTCTTTTTGTAGCCAAAATGTCCGCTCGCGCCGTGACACTCGCCTAAAAATAAACTACGCGAAGACACTCTACGCAGAACACACACGTTTATTCCCAGCCTTCTCAAGGAACAGCAAGCCATCAACCAACACAAACTCATCAGATGTGGCCTTATCTTTGGGCGCAAGTTTGGGCATGATCTCAGACATGACTAGGTCCTCTTGATAGGCTTCCACCATAGATCGAGTTACATCGCCAACTATCCCAAACTCAGTCAGTAGCGCGCCCAGATAGTCTGCCCTGCATAATAGTGCATCAACCACCTTGTTGTATTCTCCCTTCAAAGGGTCGAGCTTGAAGTCATGCATATCTATGTCATTCTATGACTTCAATCCACCTCTTGAGTGCGCGTGTCTTAATCCAGCACAGCGTCTCATGGTCAAATCTGACATAGAAGAATCTGCCCAGGAGGTAATGCCTCCAATGGACCAGCACTTGGACGGGGAGGGGTGGAAGGGGAGAATCTAGTAGGGGGGTTGGTCAGCCATGGAGGGGTCAGCAAAAGGTAGAATCAGTAGGGGCAATCGGTAAGAATCTGCCAACTTGTTTGAACACAGAGAGGGCAATTTGGAAGTTTTGCCGATAGATTTGATTTGTCCCTTACCTCGAGTGAGACGCCCCATTTTCCATCTCGAAACGGATGCACATACTCATTAACATTGCCCAGCAGAAGACCCTCCTGAAGACCAGTCCTTAAAATTTCAAGTATCAAGGCATCGATCCTTACGTACGTGTCATCGTCCGTTTTCATTACGTACTTTGCTGATGTGTTCCGCACCTGCATTGCCCAAACACAAGAGAGTCTGAGAGTCACAAAGAGAGTCACGAGATCCCACTCTGACCCATCGGCCAAATGGGGCATCTTCTACTACTGCTGAGTGCCTTTGCTGCGGTACTTCTGCCACCCCCCCTACCCCCGCACCCCCCGCACCCCCCAATATTGTGCCAGTTGCATCTCCCCCACCCCCCCCTCCTCCCCTCTTCCTCATTCTTGAGCATCTCATCAAAGCAGACGAGGAACCTCGAGCAAAATCAAAGTCAAAATAGGTCCTCAGAGTCCTTCAGTACATACGCTAAACTTCGATAGATGCAGAGAAGTTCAGCATGGCCCCTGTGCAAGGATGACAAACATTTAAAAAAAAAAAAAGAAAAAAAAAGAGAACCTTAGAGTTCTGGCTCCTTCTCTATTCTGGGGAGGGTCAGTCCGGTTCCTTTTTTTTTTTTTTTTTTTTTTTTTTTTGAAGAACACCCTCTGTGACAGATAGGAGTGATCATATAGGCATGCACTCTATCTACCCTTAAGGGTGACTCCAGTCTATTGGTGGGGAGCATCACCTGCTGGAAAGTGGGTCCAGCGTCCCCATTGAATCAAAAAGAGTCATTATACATAAAGCATGAATGGGGGTAGTGGCGTGCCTCTTCAGTCCTTACTAGACCGCCAGATCAGTCTAAAACAACAAGCTACCCTGCCCTTCAGAAAAAGTGTAAGCAATTGACAATCACTCCCATTCTCCACCAAACCACTGCAAATCAACCATAGAAAGTTGTGGAGGAGGAAAGGGATCTGCAAAACAATTTGGAGATCTAAGGGAAGATCCTGACTGCAGCGCGTCAGTCCAGTTCCTTTCCCCCCAGCAAGTCAGAAAAATTATAAGAGATACTCACACACGCTCCTCCCCCTTCTGGTGTGGAGGCCCGAAAAACGGCATTGATTGCTTCCCTTGGGAAGGATTTAGTCCTTACTAGACCGCCAGATCAGTCTAAAACAACAAGCTACCCTGCCCTTCAGAAAAAGTGTACAATCACTCCCATTCTCCACCAAACCACTGCAAATCAACCATAGAAAGTTGTGAAGGAGGAAAGGGATCTGCAAAACAATTTGGAGATCTAAGGGAAGATCCTGGCTGCAGCGCGTCAGTCCGGTTCCTTTCCCCCCAGCAAGTCAGAAAAATTATAACAGATACTCACGCACGCTCCTCCCCCTTCTGGTGTGGAGATCCGAAAAACGGCATTGATTGCTTCCCTTGGGAAGGATGTACCGTTCTTCACCCCTTCCTAAGTTAGCTTGTTTTGTAATGCTGCTGTGCTTGAATGCTATTCTGTTTATTTCTAGTCTAGCTAGGACCAACGGACTTGATCTCTGCACGACTTGGTAAATGTGTTTGCTGCTAAAACCGTAAACCCTCACTTGATGCATCTTTAACGGTACCCGGTCCCTGGAGGATGTTTCTGTACCGTGTCCGCTGATTTCACCTGTAGTTGTTGCTGGGGCTGGTCTGAACTCTACCGTCTTCACCCGAACGGGACACCCTGTCATTATCACTGCATCTGGACCGAAAGTTGCGCCAAATACAGGTATAATGACCGGGCGTTCTATTCGGGTGAAGACGGTAGGTATCACTCGATGGTGGGGAGGGGGACAACTTGTAATCTGGTGAAGGCATTCTTTGAAGGGTGGGTGATATGGCTTGGGGGGGGGCTGAGTTGGTGGTTTTGGATAGGCATAGGTTGCTAGGTAGTGTAAGGAGGGTGTGGGGAGGAGGAGGGATGGACGGTGAGTAGATCTGGTGGTGTGTGGACGGTTGCTTGGGGGTTGGGAGGGGGAGGACAAGGATGACAAACATAATATGAGAAATGGTCCAAATTTTTAAAGGAAAAAAAAAGGCCTTGGAAAGTTTTCGGAGAAAGGGGGGGTAGGCACCAGCAAGCCTAACCTATGCGGCGATGGATTTTAGAGTTGAAAAAATAAACAAACAAAAAATCAGTCTTAATCTGGGTTAAGCCGACGTCCGGCCCAGACAGACCGGGCCAGACGAACGGGGGGGGGGTCCGTCCGGCAAAACCAGACGAGCCAAAAAACATCCCAGGATTTTTTTATTTTTTTTTTTGAAGATGGGGTTGGAGTGCGCTCGCTGAGAGGAGCCCGAATCCGCAGAGAAACTTGTGAAAGTCATGTGTGGTGGGGGGGGCGGGAGGGGAGGTGGAGGGGGGGATTTGTCAAGGGGGTAAAAGGTTGTGTTGTGTAACTTTTTCTTTTCCTCTTTCTGCTGACGTTTTGCCCCTCCTCCGTCCAGACCCACCACTCCCCCCTCCAATGTCGCTGGCACCGCCCGCCATAGTGTCGTGGAAGTAGAGGATGCAAGGACAACCAGTGAGGGAAAAACCAAGTTCAAATATCGGAAGAAGAAGAAGAAGAAGAAGAAGACTTAGAAGGAGAAGAAGAAGAAGTAGTAGAGGAAGAAGAAGAAGAAGAAGAAGAAGAAGAAGAAG